GGGGTCGCACTCGCTCAGGGTCACCTCGCTGCTGCTGCGGTGCCGCAGCGGCGCCAGGCCCCGCGCCGGCGAGCGCGGCCAGCCCTCCTGGAACTCCACGTCCTTGGAGCGCCGGCGCGCCAGGCGGTGCAGGGCTTTGAGGCCGGGCACGCCGGCCGAGGGCTGCTGCCCGCCGGGGAAACCGCGGCCCTCCCGGTTGGCTTCCCGGCCGGCGCCGGCGTCCTTGGCAGCGACGGTGGCGTTGTCCCTCCGGGGGGGCCACTCGGCGACGCGGGCGCGGACCCCCATCTTGGGCACGGCCCCGCGCGGGGCGTCGCCCCCCGGCCCCGCCGCCACGGCCCCATTGGGCGCCCAAAAGGCCGCCGGGGCCCCCTCGGCATCGGCGCCGTCGTGCCGGGCGGGGCGGTGCGAGCTCATGGTCCGGTGGCGGCGGCGGCGGAGCTGAGCGGGGCCAGGGGGACAGGGCCGCTCATGGCCGGGACGGGGTGGACACGCAGGCCGGGACGGGCACCGGGACGGGCACCGGGACGGGCGTCGAGCGGGAGCCGCGGGGCCGAACCCAGCGCCGCCGGCACATGGCGGGCGGCAGCGCCGGAGCTCACGCCGGGCCGGGCCAGGCCATCCTGCAGGGGTGGGGAGAGAAGAGAGTTAGTGGGACGCTCCTCTCCTGCTTCCCCAAAATCCCAAATCCGCCCTTTTTTTAGCCAAAAACAGCGACGGGGCCACCGGGGTCACCACTTGGGGGGTGGTGGTGGTGGCGGCTCCGGGTCTCGATCCCTGAGGGGATGTTGGGAAGTGAAAAAGGTTGAGGGGCACCAGTGGTGGCCCCACGGGCACCCTGGACACGCTGGAATGTGCGTGGAATTTGTGTCCCTTGGGTGTTCCTTGGGCGAGCCTGGAACACCCAGAACCTCCACGGAGGCTCCCAAAGGGATCTTGGAAATGTGTTCGTTTCTCTCCGTGGAGGTTCCTCCGGTGGCCTTGGGAAAGGTTAGTGAGGGTCTCCAGGTGGTCTTGGAATAAGCGGATCTCCCTCTGTTGGGAATCCTCAAGGGATCTTGGAATACGATGAGTTATCTCCGTGGAGGTTCCTCCTGTGGTCTGGGAATTTCCAGACTTATCCCTGTTGAGGTTCCTCAGGTGGCCTTGGAATGGGTGGAATTATCCCTGTTGAGGTTCCTCACGTGATCCTCCTGGATGTTCCTCAGGTGATCCCAGAGATTCCCCAGGTGATCTTGGAACAGGTGGAATTATCCCTGTTGAGGTTCCTCAGGTGATCCTGGATGTTCCTCGGGTGATCCTGGACATTCGTCAGGTGCTCCGGAATGCTCCTCAGGTGATCCCGGACATTCCTCAGGTGATCCTGGACATTCCTCAGGTGATCCTGGACATTCCTCAGGTGATCCCGGACGTTCCTCAGGTAATCCCGGACGTTCCTCAGGTGCTCCTGGATGTTCCTCAGGTGATCCCGGACATTCCTCAGGTGATCCTGGACGTTCCTCAGGTGATCCTGGAGGTTCCTCAGGTGGTCCTGGAGGTTCCTCAGGTGATCCTGGAGGTTCCTCAGGTGATCCTGGAGGTTCCTCAGGTGCTCCTGGACATTCCTCAGGTGATCCCGGACATTCCTCAGGTGATCCCGGACGTTCCTCAGGTGATCCCGGACGCTCCTGGGGTGCTCCTGGAACAGGTGCCCCTCTCCCCACGGAGCTTGCCCAGGTGGTCTCCACCCCGGAGCCCCTCCCGGAGCGGGACAGACGGACGGACGGGCGTTGATCCGTCTGGGATCGGCATTAAACGATCCCACTTAATCCCGGCGGGAGCCGCCGGCTGGGCGGGGTCGTTAAATCAATACCTGAGCCCTTAATTAAGCGCAGCCCTAACGAGGGGACACCAGGGGGAAGCATCCCTCGGGAAGGATTTCCCGGCACCGCAGCTCCAACTCACAGTTTTGGGGTCAAACAGCCCAGTTTTGGGGTCTCGGCGTCGACTTCCCCTTCCCCGGCTCTTCCCGAGGGAAAGGCAACGCTCACATTGGATCCTTTTCCCAAAAAATCCGGTTTTCCAATGAAAACTCCTCTTCCCGGTTACTGGGGAGCCCCCAAATCCCAGCGGGGGTTGATAAATCCCGGGGGTTTTTTTTTGTCCCCTCCAAAAATTGGCACTCGATGCTCCTCCAGGCTGGGAATTCCCAGATTTCTTTGGGAATCTCTGCAGGAATATCCACCAGGCACCTCCAGATAATCCAGAAATCACCAAATTTAGGGATTTTACACCAAAACAGAGCCTGATCCCCGGGATTCTGGGAACATCCACAGCTCAATCCCCATCCCTTTGGGATACCCGGAATCCTTCCATGGGGATTCTCATTCCGGAAGCTCCACAGACACAATTTGGGGTGAAAAACGAGGGAAAAGGTTTAAACACCCCCTGGGGGGAACTGGGTCGATCCCTCTCCTTAAAAAAAAAAACCCAAAATTGGGGTTTTTAAGCCCAAACCCTTCGCTCCAGAGGCGGAAACTCACGGAAGCGCCATCGGGCCCTTCCCGCTGGCGAGGAGGAGGGAGGGGGGAGGAGGGAAGGAGATTTTTAATTATTAACCGCAAGTTTTTGATAAATTCAGGGAGTTTTTAACTCTTTCCACGCCCCTCGGGGAGAGGCGCAGGAGAAAGTCCGGCCACGCCCGTCTTGCAATTAAAAAAAATCGCGACTTAACGACCCCAAACGAGACGGAATCGCCCCAAAAATCCCCGCTGGGGCTTTTTTCCCACCTCCAGGAGCTGGGAAAAAAAAATCCCTCATCCCAGGAGTTTGTTTTTTTGGGAGGGTGAAACCCCCCCCCCCCAAAAAAATGATCATTTTGCCGCAGGAAAGAGTGAAAAACGAACCCGAGCGAGGAAGGGATTAGCGAGTTAATTAATTAATTAATGAAGCAGCCGGTAACTTTGTGATTAATTAGGGGGCGCTTAAAGAGCCGCCAATCCCCCGCTCCTGGGCAATGGGAATGTGGGGAAAAGTGGGGAAAAAAATCAGGGGAAAAGTGGGACGGAGCCGAGGCCGAGCCCGGCTCGGCGGCCCCGGCGCTTTTTATCTGATGGCGACGGCTTAATTAGCGCTAATTAAACAAAGGGGTTGGTCCCCACGGCCCCAAATCCACCCCATTCCCGCTTGCCTGAGCTCCGGCGGCACCGACACCGGGTGGGAGGGGGGGGGACACCGGCTCCGGGATGGAAAAGCGCCCCGAAATCCCGGGATAATTCCCGAGGGCGGAAGGAGGGAGCTCGTTAAGGAGGGAGCTCGTTAAGGAGGGAGCTCGTTAAGGAGGCTCCGCCCACCCACCCCCCCCTCCTTAATTTGGCCCCTCCAATCGTCAGGTTCAGTGTGGGGTTTTTTGGGGACTGTGGGAACTCGTCGGGATCCTGAGCCGGATTCCCAAGGAATTCCCAAGGAATTCCCAAGGTGGGAAGAGGAGGAGCGGGAAGAAGAAGCTCCTTACCGGGAAGACGGGGATCCCACGGAATTCCCGGCGGAGGATTTGAGGGAAAAACCCTGGAATTCACAGGAAAAAAAAATTAAAAAAAAAGAGAAATAAGTGTTTTAATATCAAAAGAATTAAGGGAAAATTCTCTGTTTTGGTGGGAATTCCCAAAGGCTGGAAAATGGAGGGGGGTTGGATGAGCG